CCGTACTCAGTATAAGAAACACATGAGCAAAATAGCCCCTCTGCAAAGATAGCCAGTCTTGACTCCATACCAGAGTCTAGTGTTACCTGTTTTGTATTAGTGGAGATGTATTTTGTATATTCTTGGATGTCTGACTTATTTCATCCAACTACTATGCTTATGAGATATGTCTGCATTGTTTTTGTTTTGTTGGCATTCATTTATTAATCCATTTGCAGATGTTATTCTAATTTTTTAATTTAATTCCTTAATGTTTAAACATATGGCCAGGGCTGGGGGTGCAGGTCAGTGTAAGAGCACTTTCCTAACATGTGCAGGACCGTGGGTTTGATTCTCAGCACTGCAAACAATCAAACCAAACCAAACAAACACAACTTCACTTTTTACTCTTTGTAAGAGTTTGAGCATTTAAATTGAAGAAAATTTCCTCCATTGTAAAACTTAACTAACTACTTAAAAGCTTTACTGTCTTAACTAAGAGTATCCCTTCTTTCTGAAGTGTACTCAGTGGAAATAAGTTCAAATTAGAACACACTTCCCATATATAGTGAGTTGCATGCAATCACTTTTCTCTTAACACTAAAGAGAAAAGTGCTAAGTTAATTGGAGGGGTGCAAGTGGGCCACAAAGTGGTTAGGAATCCAGGTCTAGTACTGGATCCCAGACTGGTGTGTGGAGAGGAAGCCATTTTCTTCACTGCTCTAGGAAAATGTAGAAAACACAAAATCTAGGAGTCCTAGTGTCTTTGGTGATTACCAATCCTAATAGTTGCTAGTTCTACCAATTTTTTCAGTAACTTATTTAAAAACATTTTGAATTCAGCATTACTTAAACACGTGAAAAAAACATTCTGTGAACTCCTGCAAATAAGTAGCTTGTTAAACTTTGGTCTCAGGAGAACAAAAGGCAGCTCTTACAAGGCATTGACTAAGAAATCTCTGATGAGTCCACAGAAATTCTGGAATTTTAGCTTGGAATAGTTGAATGGATTCCTGTTCCTTTGATGTGGTGGGGAGAAAGGCAAGCTACAAATTATACTGACAAGCAGGTGAAATTCATCCCAGATATAATAGTGGTGGTGTTTATTTTAGGATTGCATGTCATTTTGCATAACATGCATCGTACTTCAAAAAAATCTGTGGCGGATGTGTTTTCTCTCTGGTTTGAAACAATTGGTTTTTCTTTCAGGTATAGAAGCCAAGAAAAATGTGGTGGTAACTCAAGCTGACCAAATAGGCCCTCTTCCCAGCACTTTGATAAAAAGCGTGGACTGGTTGCTCGTATTTTCCTTATTCTTTTTAATTAGTTTTATTATGTATGCTACCATTCGAACTGAGAGTATTCGGTGGCTAATTCCAGGACAAGAGCAGGAACATGCCGAGTAGTGATGGACTGAAAGAAGTTGAAGAGAGGAGAACTTGCAGTTTTTCATTTCAGAAATTATTGCTGTAATCTCATACATTTTCTCCAGTGAAGTGTTGACTTGCAACTTCAGTCAAGTTAAAAGAATCATGCCTTTGTTGAATGGGTAAAAGAATTACAAACTGGTGTTTTAACTAGTTTTGGAATAAGCAGATGCAAAAATATTCATTAGAACTTACTATTCTTGTTTTTATTGCTTGAATATAACCCAATATTTTAGGAATAATCCAGTTTGAAATGTGAAGACATATTATGGTAGAATAATAAGTATAGTGCCATTGTGATTACTGTGTACAAGGCAGAAATAGAAAATTCTTGGTTCCTTGTGTATGTCTAGGAAAGTTTGTTTTCTGTTTGCAGTTTCTCTTCCAGAGTTGGTTAAGCAGGAACATGTTTTGTTATGGGAAGAATAATTAGAACTGACAGTGTATCCCTAAAATTGCAACTGATGGAAAATAAAAAAGTGAAATAACTTGGTGTTTGTGATCTCTGCTTTTACTGAAAGAATTTAAAGTGATTTCACTTGTTTCTAGGTAAGACAGATGTTAGGAAAAAGTAATTAAAAAAATTTTTTTTTTTGTATTAGGGATTGAACACAAGACCTTGCATACACTAGGCAAGTAATCTGCCACTAAACTGCATCCCTGATCTTTTTTTTTTTGGTACCGGGGATTGAATTCTGGGAAACTTGACCACTGAGCCACATCCCCAGCCCTATTTTGTATTTTATCTAGAGACAGGGTCTCACTGAGTTGCTTAGCACCTTGCTGTTGCTGAGGCTGGCTTTGAATTTCTGATCCTCCTGTCTCAGCCTCTGGAGCTGCTGGGATTACAGGTGTGCGCCACTGCACCCAGTTTAAAAAAAAAATTATGTTGAGATAGGCTCTTAGTTACCCAGGCTGGCCTTGAACTAGTGATCATCTTTTCCTTTTGTCTTAGCCTTCTGAATAGCTGGGATTACAGGCGTGCACCACCATGCCTTGCAAAGTAAATATTTTTATAACTCAAGGTAATTTATTAGTTCCATGCTAAAGCATATTGTAATCACAGTACTAATTATTTCCAGTGTTTTAGATAGTTTAATGTGTATATCATTATACCCTAAATTCTACAGAATTTGGTTTCCTGAGTGTTACACTGAATGAGAATTGACAGCTTTATGTGTCATATTGTGAACAGCCATGGTTGGGATGTCCACTGGCAGAAGGGGACCATAGCTCAGGACAGTAGCATTATGGTGTCCATTTTACAAATAAGCAAACTGAGGCTTAAAGAGGTTAAGTAATTTCCTGAAGCTATATAGATAGTAAATTAATGAAGCTGGGATTTGAACTTCACAAATATACTTGTAAAAAAACCTTTAATGATTCCATCTGTGATAGTAACTAACATTTGAGCTGTTACTGTGAATACTAGGTACTATTTTAAATGCTTTACTCATATTGTTTCATTTATCCATAAAATAACCCTGATATGGATACTCTTAAATAGCCTCATTTCAAAGAGTAAAAGGAGGCCTCCAGAACTTGCTCTTCCAGTGGTGGGACCAAGTTTCAAACATAAGCATTCTTACTCTAGAACCTCTGAGAGATGGGACCCTCCCCAGCTCCATACCATGTCCCAGGTAACCACTGATTGCCTTTCCCTCTAGGCTTTCTCTGGTGTGTTGTAGTCATACTATTGTTAAAATGTAGCAACTGGATTTTTTTTTTTTTGCTTAACAAATGACTAACATCTCACTGTTGCTAGTGGTTTTCTTAATCTTAACAGACCTTTGAATAGATTTAGCATACTTACCTGTCTTCTTTGGCTGGATATAATTGCATATAGTCTCATTTTGGAATATAAAAGAATTACAAATTTTGTTGGGGGCAAATTCCCAGTGTTGTAATTATATATAAAAGATTTAAGCGTTTTCATGCCTTGTGATATATACTGGGTTGCTATTCTAGTCTGGAAGGGGAGGGAGGGCTCCCAGGATGACCAGCATATCCATGGCTTGCTTCTAACACTCAGTTAAGACCAGCTATGTGGAGTTCCCCTGGGAGGGAAATAAGGAGCAAGGCTATTCCCTACAGAGGAGCTGCAGAGATTTGTCAGGAAACACTGGTTTTGAGGGAAGGAAACGGAAGTAGCAGGAGGAAAGGAAGCAGTTCAGGATAAGCCTAACATTCGCAAGCCAAACATGGTTGACCACTGCAAAGGATGTACCCAGTTGTCTTTGCTAAGGGGCTTAAATCCTATTAATCTGGGAGCTATGTGTGAAGGCAGAGCATTCAAAGCCCCTACCAGATGACATCACTCCCCTGACCCTTACCATCTTTCTTTGGCTGTTTGCCTGACTAGAGTTGAGATGCTACAGTTTCATAAAGTGTTAAGGAAGGAAAGTGACGAAGGGTCACTAATTTGTTAAATCACACATAGCAGTTCATTTTTCAGTTCTCACTTTAATAAGCAAATTTCAAGAATATTTTTCATGATCGTAAACACCCAGTGTAAATATTGGAAATACAAACTTTAATTACACTTGTAGTCTGTCTGTCTCAGGAACCCTGGAAAGAAGCCAGTGTCTTACATGCCTGTTGCCAGTGACATGTTCAGGCCTCCCCCATCCCGCACCCCCAGCTTGAGTCTTCCCCTGGGTTTTGCTTTTCAGATAGCCATGTCTTGTCAAGTGGGCAAAAGGGAAGAAAGCAGGCCAAGCCAGAAGCCCATGAATTTTAGGCCATTTTGAGGCAAAAGGCTTTATACTTTTTTCAAGTCCATGTGGGATATAAAACTGACGGCTCACAACGGTTAAATCGATCTTTTGTATATATCTATTCTTTTGCTGTAAACTCTCCAAACCCATTTATGTCATTCATTTGCTTATTTCGAATACAAGTTAATGCTAAAAACACTACGTTTTAGAGGGTGAACCTGATGGTTTGTCAATTACATCTCAAAAAGAAAAATATTAATAAATACACACATAGAATACATAAAAGAAAGAATACCTCCCAATACACGAGACAGTTTTCCTGTCCTCACCTGTCTCTGGAGAGGCTCCGGTGTTGAGCCCGCGGGGAGGCTAAAGATGCAGCTCTTACTACTTTATCAAGACAGATACGGTTGACCACAGATAGATTCGAACCCACAGCTGCCTGATTTGCATGCTTTCGAGGTGAATCACTAAGGTCCGCTGTCCCCAGAACTGAACTAACTACCTAGCGGGCAGCTCCCTCGTGCCCCCTTGCCCTTGCCTTCTATCGCTGGCGTCCCCAGAAGGGAGCCCCGCGAGGTCGGACGGTGCACGAGTCCCAGGCAGGCCGAGGCCCGAGGCGAGGTCGGGGCTGCACGGCAAACCTAGCGCCCTGCTGCTCCCTGCCGCGGCCAGCCGGCACTCGGCGGGGACCACGCGGACAGAGCGCGCGTCCGCCCGCCCGGCACCCAGCCCGGTCAGCAGCCATTGCAGCTCCTGCAGGCCTCTGGGGCGCGCCGGGGCCTGCGTGGCGGCTGGGCTCGCGGCTCGGCGCTGCCTGCCACTTGGAGCCGACTCCGGGGAGAGGCGGCCGGGGCGGCGGGCAAGTAGCGCGCCGGGAAGCTCGCGGCGGACGCCATGGCGGCGGTTCTCACGGCGCTGGGGGCGACGCGGCCCTTGCTGGCGGCGCTGCGGCGCCGGAGCCCGGGTCTGGCGGCCCTGGTGAGTGCCAAGCGCTCGTGGCGGTCCCGTGGCGCCGGGTGAGGGGCGGGAGGGCTCGGGCCTGCGGACTCGGACGCTGCGCCGCGGCGCAAACTGGTACCTGCCTGCGGCGCGGGTCGGAGTAAGTGTGTCCCCAGCAGTGGCACTTCGCCTTTGGTTTAAAAAATTCCTCCGTAGCCTACGAACTTCCTAGCCGGAAACAAAGAGGACGAGTTTTTTTTTTTTTTAAGTAAACATGAAAATTAGTTGCAAAACTGATGCTTACGGCCACTCGGTGTGCTAATGACCAGAGGCGCAGGTGGGTCCTGCAAACGGTACGCTCCGGGCCAGCAGGGCCTTCCGGGGCGGCTGGCAGTCGCCTGTTTCCCTCGGTAGTGAGCTGGTTTGTCTTAGCGCTGAGTTGTTGGAGGAACTATTAATAAATAAATTGCCTTTTTTTTGCGACACGTTGATTTTTCTTACTTCCGACGGGGTGTTCAGTTTTCCTGCTGTGGAAATTAATACTTTGGAGTCAATTAACATGAGGGAAAATTTTAACATGCAGCACCACCTAGTGGAAAAGTTTTGCATTAAACGCACCGTTTCATTTCCTCAAGTTGCAAGTTAGAGCACGTTTCAAATTTCTTTAATAGAAGAAATTTAAAATCGCTGGATGGCGGAGGAAGATAAGCACTCTGCTTTCGTAGCCACGAAAGCGAGAACAACTTGAGTGCTTACTGTTAGCTAGACATGTCTTAAGGCATATCTTTGCTCTTGGTGAGGGTGACCACGGAAAATCATGGTGTCTGGGAAGGAAGTATTTGAATGGAGTGACTGTCACATGCCAGGCTCTTTCCTGGGTACCTTCACATTTAAGTTCTCTTTAAACCTTTGAAAAAATCTTGGCAAGTAGATAATATAATATCCCCATTAAGAGAGGCCAAGTTCAGCATCCCACAGTAAAAAGTAACAAAGTTAGCCCTTGAGTCAAGTTTACTCTTTCAAATCCTGTGCTTTTCTCTCCCCACACTCCCATTAAAAAATTTCGAGGCCTCCAAGGAAGGGTTCTGCTGAGGGTGTGTCCTCATGTCCTCAAGAGGGCCATAGGTGTTATGTAGATGAAATGGCTCCATTTCACAGTTCTGGACATGATTCCTGGGCTGGGCAGACATCTATGATGAGCCAGAGTGCATACCGCTGATCTCAGTGGGGTTGTGGATGGCACCAGAGAGAAGCATTGCAAGAGTGCGCATTCCACAGCCTTCAAGTGACTACTGCGCAACAAAGGCATATTTAATTTTCTTCACCTACTATGCAGTGTGGACACAGATTCTGATTCTTTTTTGAAATTCTGAGTTGACTTAAAATAGTTGTCTTCAATAGAAATTTTAGATTAATTCCTGTGGTAGACCTTAGTGTGAAAATTTTCAGAACTCGGTGTAAGACTAATGGATAGCTCTTTTGGCTCTTAATAGTAAATGCTTTTTCAGCAACAGGCCTTCAAATGTTTTTGTTGAAGAGGTATTCTAATTTTTCCCTTTTGTTAGTTGTGGGGAAGTGTAGCTGATCTAGCAAGGAAGAAAAACTAGGAAGTTTGTTCATTACCTCCTTTTTTCCTCTTCTTCAGGGATGCTTTACCACTGAGCTATATCCCTCCCCCCCCCCCCCCTTTTTTAGGTATTTTAGATATTTGTTGTTCCATATTCATGCATGCACACAGTGTAGTTGGAAACAATACCTTTATTTGTTTATTTATTTTTATGTGGTGCTGAGGACTGAACTCAGTGCCTCGTTTGTGCTAGGCAAGCGCTCTACCACTGAGCCACAACCACAGCCCCCCCAATCATTGTTATTTTTTATTTTGAGACAGAGTCTCACTAAGTTATTCAGGGCTTCCCTTAATTGCTGAGGCTGGCCTCGAATTTTTGATACTCTTGCCTCAGCCTCCCAAGTCGCAGGGGTTATGGGTATGCATCACCATACCTGGCAAAACAGTATTAACTATACTAATATCAGTGATAAAAGATTTTAGGATTTTAGAAGTGGGCATGAGTTGCAGCTTCATGGCAGAGAATCTGGAGAATTCCCAGTTGTCCTTTGATGATGAGTGTTCAACATTAGTTCAGACTTTCTGAGTGCCAGTCTCTCACCTGAACCTACAGTAGCCCTGCAAGTAGGTGAGGCATAAGATATTGGTTGGCACTTATACTGGAGTGAGAACCTAACTTTCTCTCTGGCCATGAGGTTTAGAGTTTTTTTTTTTTTGTACTATGGATTGAACCTAAGGACACTTAACTACTGAGCCACATCCCCAGACCTTTTTGTATTTTATTTAGAGACAGGGTCTCACCAAGTTGCTTAGGGCCTCACTAAGTTGCTGAGGGTGCTTCAACCTCCTGAGTGGCTGGGATTATGTGCATGTGCCACTGTGCCTGGCAAGGTTTAGAGATTGGTTTTTTTTTTTTTTTTTTTTTTAATTTTTTTTTGTAGTTATAGATGGACAGAATGCCCTTTTTTATTTGTTTATTTTTATGTGGTGCTGAGGATCGAACCCGGTGCGTCACACATGCTAGGCAAGTGCTCTGCCACTGAGCTACAGCCCCAGCCCGAGGGTTAGAGTTTTTAAAGTTAAAAAGCAAATGTCATAAGGAAATGTGGGCACATTTACCAAAGAACCTGGATTTGTGAATGTTATCACTAGGGGGAGAAGGCGCAAGGTAGGTTGTACACCCCTGTGCTTTGGACTGGATAGTACTCTGGACAAACTCTGGAGGGAGTTTTTCTTTTCTTTTCTTTTCTTTTTTTAACATGTCTTTTTATTTTTAGGTGGACACAATATCTTTATTTTACATTTATGTGGTGTTGAGGATAGAACCCAGTGCCTCATGCATGCTAGGCGACCACTCTACCACTGAGCCACAATCCCAGCCCCTTTACCATGTTTTCTTAAATTGGTGCATTAGAGTTGAACATACTTACGGGATTTATTGTTCCATACTCATGCATGCACACAGTGCAGTATAACAGTATGATTTGGCCAGTATCATTCCTGGAAGATTTTCGTACTGGTGCTCTGAGAAAAGGATTTCATAAATGTACTCTATTAAGACAAGGTCTTTTTTATTTATAGTAGAGGGTCTGTGGACCCCAGAAGTTATTATATCAAATTCTATGTAAATGTACATTGGTTTTTCCCTCTGGGGATTGGTTTTTATCAGAGGTGAAAGGGATTATTAATCAAAAATAGATGAAACCCATATGACTAGTTGGTGAAGGCTACCAGGTGACAGGGGACCCTCCTGAAGAGCACTAAGACAGGAGTTCAAAGCTTTGAGTTCTACCTGGTCTTGCCAATGGATTTGCAAAATTTCCTTCAGTGGGTGTTCTTACCTCAGTTTCCCAACTCCTGAAATTCTGAAACGGTCTCTGGAGGCCAGTGGCAGTGGTCAGTCTCAGGGGCGTCTGTAAGAAACCAGAGTTGCCAAAACGTGAAGTTTGAGGCAGGAGTAAGGGGCGGGAGAGCCATACTATGGAGGCAACTTATTTTGTATAGAGCTGGCCTTGCTTTTGTCTGGATTTTTTGAGAATAAAGAAGTGAAAGCTGGTTAGAATTTGTTGCCCTTGAGACTTTTCTACATCTGTTCTCAAGGTAGAGAGCTATGAGTTTATTTAAAGAGTTTAATAAACCTCTACATTTTCAGATATGAAATGTGTTCTCTTTGTAGTCTTCAGATGCCCAGTTGTTGGCAGCAGAGGAGAGGAACCAAGTTATGCTTGACCTCAAAGCAGCAGGATGGTCGGAATTAAGTGAGCGGGATGCCATCTACAAGGAGTTTTCCTTCAAAAATTTTAATCAGGTAATTATAAATTCTGGTTAGCGTCACCACAGGCTATGACTCTTTTGCTTACTACTAATTGTCTGGTACCATGTGGACCCAGGATGCACATCCTCTCTTAAGAGCTGGGGAATGTGGCTCTGTAGGTAAGTGTTCCTGGGTTCAATCCCTGGTATCTGCCCTCCAAAAAAAAAAAAAAAAGAATTCAGTGTTAGAGGGAATCCTTGCTGATATTTGTTGCTGTCCAGCCAAGTAAAAATTACCTCTTCTGGGGGAAGAGGTAATTTCTATTATTTGGAAAATCAAATTCTGAAACCACTGTTGATGTGATTTGGTGTTGGATAGTATATTTAGTTTTGGAATTTTAAATAACCTTAAAAGAGTGTGTGAAATTTTTATATTTATCAGAAGGGGGCATGAATAAGACCAATTGAGAAACATACACCTGGGCTGGGGATGTGGCTCAAGCGGTAATGCGCTCCCCTGGCATGCGCGGGGCACTGGGTTTGATCCTCAGCATCACATAAAAATAAAATAAAGATGTTGTGTCTACCCAAAACTGAAAAATAAATATAAAAAATTCTCTCTCTCTCTCTTAAAAAAAAAAAAAAAAAAAAAAGAGAAACATACACTTGTTGGACTGATTACCTTTCCTTTTCCTGGGCAGTTTTGGTTCTTCCTGTAGTTGTGTTTCTGCCTCTAAGTCATCTCCTAAGCTGTACCCTCTTCCCTAATTGGCCCATTTTCCTCAAGCCCAGTAGCCAATCCTTGAAGCTTTTCTTAAAACCTGACCTCCCTCTTGGAGACTCAACAAGGTAACTGTTCCATTTAGGCCCCACCCTGTTTAGAGAGTCATCTCCCATGACTTACCCTTCAATTATTACTCTGCTGCATTTATATAAGGTAAATGCTTTTGACTATTTTGTGTTTGTTCAGTTAGTTTGGTAATCCTTTGGACAGATTTATTGTTTTTATTTATATTAGGTGTCAGCAACTAGAAGTCAGAGACCGTGTTTGTTTAAATAACTCTCTATTGTACCTAGCACAGTTCTTGGTACAAACAGGCATTTGATAAATGCAGACATTGATTGTAGTGTTTGCTAGTTTCTAGAAGGGTGTGTGAGGACCAGATTTCCACCAAAGAAACCCTCGGCATGTTTTCCTAGTAAATGCCGTTGGCTCCACCGAGCTGCCTGCCCTATTCTGTTCTCCATCCATCTGGCTGCCAGCCATCTGCTCTGAGTCCTCAACTCCTGAGGAAACCTGGACCAAGCAGGCTCCCTGTCCCTGCTGCCCCACGTGCTCGACAGCTCTTGTCAGGGGCTTAGCACTCTGTGGCTGGTGGCAAGGAATCCCATTGGTACAGTAAGCTTGTGTATAAGCTCTAGGTAGCATTTTCCAAGCTTATTAAAATTCTTACATGTGTACAGCTTGACTTCTTTAAGCCCGGGCTAATTTATTGGGCTTGAACATGTGGCTTAAAGTACTTGAGTGGTGTTGCCTCAGGCCCTGCCCATGAGTCAGTCCTCCAGCACCACTCCAACCTTGCACTCTGGACCACTTTCAGAAATGGGGGAAGGGAAGCTTGCAGGGCATCCCGATTAACTAATATTATTCACTGGGACATTTCATTAACTAGGCGCCCCCACCTTCACTCAGCTTTTAGGAAACAGAAGACCTAGATACTAAGAAAATCAGCTGGTGTCAGAGAATGTATTCAGAGAACCAGCTCTGACATTATATCCTGGGTCAATTTTCCAGCAGTCTGCTGTGACTTTTCCTGTAATGGCACTGATGTCATGACAACTGTCACGGCAGTCCAGCCAAAGACAACCAGGAGCACATGTCTAGTTGAACAAGTTGGCTTTATTGCTCATTGCAGCAAGGGAGAGCACACTCTATAGGGAACTATGGGCATCTCAGGAAGACAGTGTGTTGCAGACTTGTGACGGGATTTGGGCTTGTGCTAAGTGATTTTTGGAGAGTGCTGAAGGAATCAGGACTTTGCTCTGCATTGGATGCTGCCTGGAAAGAGACAATTCTATGATTCAGTATTTTAACCTTACCTATGGGACAACAGACTAAGGTGGGGCCAAAGCTAAAACTGGAAAAGAAGCAGTAGTTCCTCATTAGCTGGGAAAGGGGGGTGTTTCATGTTTTGTGGCTTGGATAGCATTCCTGTTTTGTCTGTGTTCAGATGTCATTACAGAATGGACTATTTATTTTTTATTTTTAGTTGTAGATGGACACAATACCTTTATTTTGTTTATTTTTATGTGATGCCAGGGATCGAACCCAGTGCCTCACGCATGCTAGGCAAGCGCTCTACCATTGAACCATGACCCCGGCCCCCAGAATGGTCTATTTTTGATCCATCATGGTTGCAGAGTGGCTCTGTCTGCTATTGATGTTGTGTTCAACAGGAGAGCACCAAGGCCCCTTCATATTCCCAGGCCAGCTCCCCACACCAGGAGCTGCTTGGCTCCTGCTTACAACCCATGAGTAGGGTAGTAACTTCCTGGCACTGACAGATCCTCATTCATCATTTGGAAAAGCCACTGTCTTTTTATTTCTAGCAACAACATAATGTTAAAATAGAATTGTATAAATTAAAAAAAAAAAAGATTTCCCATTGTAACTACTTTTATTTTTTCCATTTTCTTTTAGTCTTCTCTGTAGGTATAATTTACTCACAATGTGACAGTTGTATATGCAGGTAAATTTTTAAAAAAATTAATTTAAAAAAATAATACTCATTGATTTACCAAATATTTGTTAAGCATCTTTTTCTCTGTGCTGGGCATTCTTCTAAGCTCATGTGGCTTATATTTCAGTGGGGAAGATAGATAATAAGTAGATAATGCAATATCACCTCATAAGTGACATAAGAAGAATTATGTGGGAGATTGGAATAGAAGGTGAAGAGGGAGACCCTTTTTGAGATAGAATAGTCTGAAGTCGTCTCTCCAGGTGGAGATGTGTGATGCCTGAGTAATGCAAAGGAGCTTAGTGTATGAGGATCCAAGGGAAGATCATTCCAGATGGAGAGGACAGCAAGTACAAAGTTCCTGAAGCAGGATGATCTTGGCTTAAGCAGGAGCCAGAAAGCTAGTGTTCTGGAGTAGACAGAGAGAGGAGAAGAAAGAGCTCTGGGGCCTTGTGGCCTGGTGAAGAATTTGAATTTTGTTCTGTAGAAGAAAGCTGCTAGACTATTTCAAGCAGAGAAATGTCATCATTTGGCTTATGTTCTAAACAAATCATGTTTGGCTGTTCTGAGAAAAGGTGGTAGGAGGGCAGGAGTGGAAGCAAGCAAACTACATACAAGAGACAACCGGAGACTGGAGGAAGCAGTGGAGGTGGAAAGAGATGTGGATTCCTCACATCCTTTGAAGGTGGAGTAATCAAGACTTGCTGATAGAACTGTGGGTGTCGCTCAGTGGTAGAGCACTTGCCTAGAATGTGCAAGGCCACCACCACCAAAAAAGAAAAAAAAAATATTGCTGATAGACTGGAAATGTTTCAAGGATAACCTCAGGGTGTGGGTTCAAGCTGTAGGGTGAAGGATGGTGGCATTAGTGCCACTTACTGAGCTGTGAAGACAGGGCATGGGGGAGGGTAGTAGGGAATGAACCTTGCTTGGGGCACTTCAGGTTTGAGATACTTACAGGTCATCCAAGTAGAGAAATCAGGTTAGCAGGTGGATATATGACAACAAGGGTCAGGCTGGAGAGCCCAGTGTGAGAATTTCCAGAGGGGTAACTGTGAGAGCACAGGACTAGAATGGCAGTGCAGGCCTGGGGGTGGTGTGTGCATTGTCATGGGAAAGCAGGAAGAGTGACAGGTACTGAGGGAGGTAGATGGGTAGCCAGTGAATGCGGAAGGGAGGCGTGTTGGAGGTCTGGGGAGAGAGTGGGAGGAATGGTCATCTTGGAGACTAAGATGGTGAATTCTCTGGGGAGGTGTAGCCAGTTGCTGTGAAGTTCTTAGTGTCTCTTCAGAGTTTGGTCACATATTTAAAGTGAAGATTTTATTTGTTTTTCTAGGCACATTTAGCTGCGTAGACACAGGCTTGGAGTAGGTGTGGAGTTGGGCTAAAGGAAAGCTGAACATTTGTCAAATAAGTATTGAAGGAAACAGGAGCAAAGTAAGGGAGGTTGGGGAGGGTGTGTGAAAGGGAGGGATTAAAACATTGGTCCTTGGAGTTCGGGCTGGTGAGGAAGTGCAACTATGACAGGGAGCTGGCTGGTGAGGAGCTGGGAGTGTCATTTGATATAATCTTTTTGGAGGGCAAGTGGGCAATGGCTGCCAACCTTTTTTGTTTGTTCTTTTTGTTTTTAGTGGTGCTAGGGATCAGACTCAGGGCCTCACACATGCTAGGCAAGGATTCTACCACTGAGCCACACTACCAGCCCCCATGCCTGTCAACTTTTAAAATCTACGCACCTATGGTCCTAACCTAGGACTATGTCTTCTAGGTACAGTCCCTGTGTGTATACAAATTCGATATGTGAGGGTGACCATTGAAATCCCGGGCCTATTTCTGTATGTGTGTGAGAGCAGGCATTTGTGTGTTCACATGTGCACTGTGGTAAGACTGCATCTTCCTCGCTACAGCGCTGCCCTCAGCAGGAATTGGGGAGGTCTGCTCCATGTGCCCCTAACAATGGTACCCCATCTTTGCTGAACATATGGATAAAATATATTCTTTTACACAGTAGGTTATGAAAAATTTCAGTTCTTTGCAGTCTTCATTTTGCTTTCACTAAAATCTTTAGGAGTAGGGGCTGGGGCTGTAGCTCAGTGGCAGAGCATGTTTGAGGCACTGGGTTCAATCCTTAGTACCACATTAAAAAAATAAAATAAAATAAAGGCACACTGTCCATTGAAAATAACAAAAATTAAAAAAAAAATTCAGGAGTAAGATTACACTTGGTTGGACATTATAATTTTTAAATGATTTGCTTATGTAGTATTTGTAAATTGGTATCACAAGTTTGCGTCTGTCTTTATTTCTTTTATTA